AATAAGCCAGGCACAGAAAAACATTGCATGGCCTGCCTCATATGTGGAAAGTAAAAAAGTTGATCTCTTAAAGTTGAAGATAGAATGGTGGTTAGTGTGGACTTAAGTGGCTGGGGCTGGCGGGGACATGGGGAGAAGCTGGTTAAAGGATACAAAATTTTAGTTAGATGGGAAGATTAATTTCAAGAATGGTACTATACAACAGGGTGACTATAGTTAATAATACATTGTCTATATTGCAAAATATTGAAAAAAATGCTAAGATGGTAGATCTAAAGTGTTCTTACCACAAAAATAATAACTACAAGGAGTGGTAGATGTTACCCACTTAGTCATTCTACAATGCATACATACTTCAAATATTATTAATACATCATACAGAGTGAATTCAATTTTGTCAATGTAAAAAATAAAATAAAAAATAAGCTAGTGAGATGATAAACATGGAAATGCATAATATAGACTATGCCAAATGCTTATATTCTAACTTATTCGGTTATTTCTAGTATCCCAAAATTCCCAATTTTGCTACAAATGAGGAAACGAAATTCAAGATATATTTTTCCTTGATAACTACCAAATTTGCTTTGATAACAGCAATTTCCTCTGTGAGAGCAGAAAGGGAAGGGTCTTTAGAAAAAGGAAGGGGATTGAGGAAGCCTCAACTGCATCTGCAAAAAGTTAAAATTCTGTAGAGCTGTGTATCAGGTCAGGGTGTTCATTAGACTCAACTGTGTTTAATATCTCTTATAATTTACAAAATGAAAAAATATGTTGTTCTTTAACACACAAATAAAAAATAATAAGAAGTTCCAAACATGACAGACAATGCTCTCTTTCTACCTACTCTGTCCTCATTAATCACCTTAAAGAGTGACCTCTTGGGTTTTTCTCACAGAAAATGTCATTACTTTGTAATGAAATGTTAATGCTAAGTTCTATTCTTAAAGTCACTTGTTACAGTGATAAAGCTATGGCTTAATAGAGTTGCTAAATATTCATCCAAGTCATTCTTCTTCTTCTTCTTTCGAGAGGTTTTTGCTATAGAGAGCATGTGCTTGCCAGAAAGAGAGAGAGAGACAGAGAGACAGAAAGTGAGAAATCACCCCCACAGGGAGGATGGCCATGCCACAATCCCTTCTCTTCCATTCTCCTCTCAGGATCTTGGGCATGCACGCACATGCGCCTGGTGTGAGTTTAAGCCACTGGGTCCAAGACTCGAACCTCAGTCAACTACATGGGCGTCCAGCAACACAGCCATTACACTAGCTGCTGGTCCCCAAGTCATTCTTCTTTTAACATTTTATATTCTTCAAGTGACCAAAAAAAGAAAAAAAAAAAAAAAAAAAAAAAAGAAAAGAAAAACTCTATTTTTTTCTCTCTCATTGAAAAAAAAGAGATTACACTCACTATAAAGAGCAACTTTAACCTGAAGCACCAAAGTCCCTTTATGGTTTTCTAAGTGTGTTTTCTATGAGTTTGTAGCTGTTAGTACCAAATCATAATTCATTCTATACTTAGTATCCCATTCAATATTTTCATTTTCCTGACATCACTTACCATTTGCTCAATACCCTTCAGTTCTCCTCAGTGTTTGAAATCATTATGGTATTTGTACCCACCTCCTGCTCATGAATGATGTTTTAAGCATCTCTTTATATTAGTAAGTTGGTTCCTAAGGTTGTGGAAAGTTCTTTTAGTTGCAGCCTATATTTACCATATGACCCAGCAATTTTTCTCTTGGGTATTTATATTAGAGAAGTGTTCACGCAAAACATGTACCTGATGTACTGGATGCTTCCAACAACACTATTCATAGTCATCCCAAACTGGAAACAACCCAAATATCCTCCAGTGGGTGACTGGATAGCACATTCATCCACTCAGTGGAATATCACTCAGCAACCAGAAAGAGCAAACTAGCGATACCCAGCCTCTTGGATGAATCTTAAAGGAATCAGGCAGAGTGAAAGAAGTAGCTCTCAAAAGGTTACATGTTTTATGACTCTATTTATATGACATACTTGAAAAGGGAAAACTATAGTGATGGAGAATAACTCCATGGTTGCCAGGACTTAGGGGGTAGGGAGGGTGTGAGTACAAAGGAATAGGATGAATTTGGGGAATGATGGAATTGTTCTGTGTCCTGATTGCTGCAATAGTAGCACAAATCAGTAGCATGTGAAAGTTCATAGAACTGCATGCCAAAAGGTCATTTTTATTATAAATTTTAAAATTATATAAAAGATCCCAGTTTTATCAAACTAGTTGCATGTCCTTCAGTGCTGTTTAACTTCTCTGAATCTCAATTTATTTACCTGTAAAATGTGGAAAATACTCTTCTCCTGGAAGAGGTGTTATAAAGATGAAATAAGATGTTATTTCCACCTGACATACTGGAGGCTCTTTTTCTTTCTTTTCCGTAGTAATAAATCTCATTGCGGAAATAAGATGTTATTTCCACCTGACATACTGAAGGCTCCTTTTCTTTCTTTTCCATAGTAATAAATCTCATTGCAAGCAGATTATTTATTGTCATTATTACCATTCATGCTTTTTTCATGGTTATTTGGCTCTTGGGGAACAGACTATAGTCACTGAGGGTTTGAAGTAGGTGAGTGTCATCATGTGAGTTTCAGTCTTAAAAGATCATTTGAGCAGATTTTCCTGGAGTAGTTAGGCATGTAGGAAGCCAGAAACAAAAAGGCCAGGAAGAGGTGTTGGGGTGGTCAGATGAGAGGTGATGGAACGATCTCAGGTGGGAGCAATGGAGAGAGAATGGGGTAGGTTTGGGATTTCTTTTCTTGGGAAGTAGAACCAATGGCTTGATAATGGTTTGAGGGGTGAGGAAAGGAGGATGATGGTGTTATTTCTGGGACGTTATTTCAAAAAGAGGAGCAAATTCAACTGGATGGGTTGTGGTAGGCATTGACAGTGAAGAATTACTTTGGGCATGTTATGACTGGAAATCAAGTAAGCGATTTGGATGTAGACGTCTGGAACCAAGGGCTAGGCCAGCGTTCTGTCCCTTCCTAGGGCTGCAGCACACAACAGCAAAGGTTTCCTGTCCCAGCCCTACCAGATTAGGTTGAGGGGGGGGCTTTCAATGGCTGTTCCTTAGACTCAGCCTTGAGGGTTTTAGCAGTGTGCTTCTCTTTGTCCATTCCTGATAGGGATTATAGAAAGTTCTACTGGAATTCAGATGAGGCCTATACCATTCGCTGCTGCTAGTTTGTTGGTAGGTTTTTGTTTTTGTTTTTCCTCTTTCTGCTTATTGAGAATTAAAGAATGAAGGCACCCAATATTTCTAAATACCCAGCCTGGAAGTCATCAGTGGTATTGTGTATATTGAAAGATTAATAAACTACTGAGATCCAGCAATCCCACTACTGGGTAGATATTCAAAGTTAAGGAAATCATTATGTCAAAGAGATAATCTGCATCCCCATGTTCATGGCAACATTATTCACAAAAGCCAAGAAAGAGAATGAACATAACAGTTTATAAGTGGATGAATGAATAAAGAAAACGTGGTATATGTACATAATGAAATACTATTTACCTTTTAAAAAGAAGGAAATCCTGCCATTTGTGATAACCTAGATGAACCTGTAGGACACTATGTTAAACAAAATAAGCCAGGCACAGAAAAACAAACACTGCATGGCCTGCCTCATATGTGGAAAGTAAAAAAGTTGATCTCTTAAAGTTGAAGATAGAATGGTGGTTAGTGTGGACTTAAGTGGCTGGGGCTGGCGGGGACATGGGGAGAAGCTGGTTAAAGGATACAAAATTTTAGTTAGATGGGAAGATTAATTTCAAGAATGGTACTATACAACAGGGTGACTATAGTTAATAATACATTGTCTATATTGCAAAATATTGAAAAAAATGCTAAGATGGTAGATCTAAAGTGTTCTTACCACAAAAATAATAACTACAAGGAGTGGTAGATGTTACCCACTTAGTCATTCTACAATGCATACATACTTCAAATATTATTAATACATCATACAGAGTGAATTCAATTTTGTCAATGTAAAAAATAAAATAAAAAATAAGCTAGTGAGATGATAAACATGGAAATGCATAATATAGACTATGCCAAATGCTTATATTCTAACTTATTCGGTTATTTCTAGTATCCCAAAATTCCCAATTTTGCTACAAATGAGGAAACGAAATTCAAGATATATTTTTCCTTGATAACTACCAAATTTGCTTTGATAACAGCAATTTCCTCTGTGAGAGCAGAAAGGGAAGGGTCTTTAGAAAAAGGAAGGGGATTGAGGAAGCCTCAACTGCATCTGCAAAAAGTTAAAATTCTGTAGAGCTGTGTATCAGGTCAGGGTGTTCATTAGACTCAACTGTGTTTAATATCTCTTATAATTTACAAAATGAAAAAATATGTTGTTCTTTAACACACAAATAAAAAATAATAAGAAGTTCCAAACATGACAGACAATGCTCTCTTTCTACCTACTCTGTCCTCATTAATCACCTTAAAGAGTGACCTCTTGGGTTTTTCTCACAGAAAATGTCATTACTTTGTAATGAAATGTTAATGCTAAGTTCTATTCTTAAAGTCACTTGTTACAGTGATAAAGCTATGGCTTAATAGAGTTGCTAAATATTCATCCAAGTCATTCTTCTTCTTCTTCTTTCGAGAGGTTTTTGCTATAGAGAGCATGTGCTTGCCAGAAAGAGAGAGAGAGACAGAGAGACAGAAAGTGAGAAATCACCCCCACAGGGAGGATGGCCATGCCACAATCCCTTCTCTTCCATTCTCCTCTCAGGATCTTGGGCATGCACGCACATGCGCCTGGTGTGAGTTTAAGCCACTGGGTCCAAGACTCGAACCTCAGTCAACTACATGGGCGTCCAGCAACACAGCCATTACACTAGCTGCTGGTCCCCAAGTCATTCTTCTTTTAACATTTTATATTCTTCAAGTGAGCTGGTGATGGTCTTTTTGTTTTGTCTTGTTTTTACAAACACAGGACCATCTCAGCAAAAACTCATCATCAGGCTGTTAACTTCAACATTTTCGAAGGCATGGTCTGCCATGGGGTCCCCCTTGTGACGATTTCAAGAGGCAGAGTAGTATATGAAGCTGGAGTTTTCAATGTCACGGCAGGAGATGGGAAGTTTATTTCTCGCAAGCCATTTGCGGAATATATTTACAAACGAATCAAGCAGCGGGACCAGGTGAGTTGTATCTCTCTGGGTTGTTACCATGGGTTAAGCTGTCACTGGCTCCTGGATGTCTGCTTTGTTGTTGGTGGTGGTGGTTGTGGGGAGTGGTTACATCACACTCGGTTTAACATATTATTGGGATGCTAGGATAGATATGAGAAGTTGCAAACACTAATTTTCAAAGAAAGAATCATTGGATGGGTGCCTTCCCCCTTGCAGACTGATGCGTCTGTTCAGGGTTTCCTGATGGACCAAGTCAGGTATTCCCAGGCAAGTTCAGGGCCCTTCGGGGCCTTTTATAATGGTGTTACTCAGCCCTCCAAGAAGCAGATCTCCAGATGGCTGAAGGTACATGGGTTTTAGTGGGGAAACCTCTGAGAGAGAAAACAGGCAAGAACCAGGAAAGGACGAGAGGGCTTTCAGATTGCACTTCAGTTCTGACCCTAGGGAAGAAAATAAGGGAGCAAATGGAATGGAAGCACACTGTCTGACTTAGCAAGGCACTGAGAAGTCCTTGAGCCAAGAGTCTTGTCTTCCAGCTATAGACGGTGCCCAGTTGTTGGCTGAGAGCAATCGTGGGAGGCCTCAGTGCTATCACAGTGATGGAGTTCACAGTTCAGAGTTCAGCAACGGCCATTTGAAACATAGTTCTCCCTTTATTTGAAAGGTTCACAAGGCGTATTCTTTCTGACTACCAGAGCAATGGTTGAGTTTTGGGTCAAGTAGCTCTTAGTACATTCTGTCTTGCCCTCTCATTTCCTAGCTTTGTAGCCTACAGCACATTTGTGCTGTCCTCTTGGGCTCAGGTTCCTCATCTGGAAAATGACATTTTCTTCCTAACAAACTGTAAGACTCAACATAAGAGTTTACAGTATAAGCATCTAGTAGGGGATCAGTAAATATCTGTTCAGTTTCAGGGCCACCAGGTGGCATTGTGGTTCAGATGCTGGACTCCCACATGACTGACTATGGTTTGAGTCCTAGACCTGGTGGCTTATTTCTCACTTCCCCTCTCTCTCTCTCTGGTGAATGCATGTGCCCTTTAGCAAATTAAAATAATAATAATAATAATAATAAAATTATATAACTCTTTTTAAAAAAAGTACCAGTTTAGTCTTTTTGCTTTCTCCTTTTGCTGAACAAATCTATGCCAAGGGCCCCAACATTTTTGAAATAACTCTGTAATTATAGAAGAGATATTTGTTGGGCCAGCAGATAGCATGGCGATTAAGGTACTGGACTCCCACATGGCTGGTTGTGGTTCAAGTCCCCAGACCTGGCGGCTTGCTTTCTCACTTTCCCTCTCTGTCTCTCTCTGGTGAGTGCACGTGCCCTACAGCAAATTAAAAATCATATAAATACCAAATGAAATTAAATGAATAGTTCTTTTTATAGAAAGAGATATTTGCTTTTAATATAAGAGGAGGATTCCAAAAGTTTACAGAAAATGTGTATTATCAAAAAACCACACATGGGGAGCCAGCAGTTAGTGTAATGGCTATGTCGCTGGACTCCCACGTAGTCGACCGTGGTTCGTGTCCCGGACCTGGTGGCTTAAAACTCACGCCGGGTGCGTGTGCGTGTGTACCCAAGATCCCGAGAGGAGAATGGAGGAGAAGGGATTGCGGCGTGACCATCCCCTCTGGGGGGTGATTTCTCGCTTTCTGTCTCTATGTCTCTCTCTGTCTGTCTGGCGAGCGCACGCGCTCTATAGCGAAAACCTCTCCAAAAAAAAAAAAAAAGACACACATGGTTCCTGAAATTATTTGGGGCCAAAATAAACTCACACTTTTAACTCTATTTTTCTATGAACTTTATAAAGTCCTTATATCTTGGGCATGTACACAGTTTGCTTAGTTCACAGAGTTTTAAATAGTTTTTAAAATACACTACACTACATACACTGAAATTTGATAGTTTTATCAGATTTAAAAATCTAGATTTCTGAATTTTAGAGTAGAGGAGGAGCCTTGTGTTCTCAATCTCACATGGCACGAAGAGGCCACAAGTGGACGGCTGAGTCTCAGATAGGCACTTTCTGGGGTTCACCCAGCAGGCTTCACTTATTAAAGTCCCTTGCCTGACTATGTAGATGTTAGAGTTTGTCCCACTTGGATTAGTTCTAAGGCTTCACTCTCCTTTCCATTTTTCAAATGTCCATCTCCCTTTCTAGAGTTCTCTGGCTATGTTTTGATTCATTTTGTTTGAATCTTCTATATAGTCTCTTTGATTTCACCTCTAGTGCCCTGTACAATCTTTTTACTTGTGGATTCTCAAGAGTCCGTTGTACAAGATTCACCCACTTTTTGACACTTCCTAAGGTTTTGATTAGGTAAACAAGTGCTCTAGAAATGCTACAATTCTTTTTTTTTTCTTTTGTCCATAGAGATTTTTGATACAAGGTATATGCACTTTTTGGCGACACAGAGAGAGACAGAGAGAAAGAACATGAGAAGTCACCCCCCAGGGGAGATGGCCATGCCACAGTCTTTTTCTTCATTCTCCTCTTGGGATTTTGGGCACACATGCACACACATGCACACATGTGTATTATGGCAAAACTATGCAAACTATCCACAAACTTTTTGAGTTTGAAGCTGCCAGGTCCAGGACTTGAACTGTGGTCAGCCATGTGGGAGTCCAGCACCTTAACAACCATGTCACCTGCTGGTCTGGAAATGACACAATTTTTACATACTATATTTCAGTCAAAATGGAAGACATTTAAGGTTCATTTTGCCAGAGAGTTCATTTATAGATGCTGATACTGACAGGTGATAGGTGAGTGACGGTTATAGGAATCCTGGGATTTTTCCAAATGTGATAAAAAAACATTTTTTTTTTTTTTGGAGAGGATTTTTTTCGCTATAGGGCGCGTGCGCTCGCCAGACAGAGAGAAAGAGAGACAGAGAGATAGAAAGTGAGAAATCACCCCCCAGGGGAGATGGTCACACTGCAATCCCTTCTCCTCCATTCTCCTCTCAGGATCTTGGGCACACACACACACGCACCCGGCGTGAGTTTTAAGCCACCGGATCTGAAACGCGAACTGTGGTCGACTACGTGGGAGTCCAGCGACATAGCCATTATGCTAACTGCTGGTTCCTAAAAACAGCAGTTTTAACATTTAATGAACAGTTACTGAATGCAAGTGAAGGCTCTGTTACTACAACAACCTGTTATGGAGGAAAGTATTATTTCCCTCATTTTAAAAATTAAGAAATGATAGAAGGTAGGGAGTGTGAGGAAAGATATTAAGGAGAAAAAGAGAGGCAAGACATTTATGGAACACAGAAATGCATTATTATCTGTTGATAATGTGTATAGCATTCTCAAATGGACTGATGTGAAGTGTTCATGTTGGGAGAATTGGCTTTACAAGCTAAGTAATGTATAGTGATAGACTGTATAAAAGAAATTAAAATAAAATTAAAACAAAAAAAGAAATGGGGGCCAGCAGATGGCCATAGTGTTTACGTCGTTGGACTTCCACATGGCTGACTGCGGTTTGAGTCTCAGACCTGGTGGCTTGAAACTCATGCTGGGCATGTGTGTGTGCATGCCCAAGATCACAGAAGGAGAAGGGATTGTGGCATGACCATTCCCCTTGGGGAGGGGTGATTTTTCACTTTCCCTCTCACTGTCTCTGTCTCTCTCTCTCT